GACCTCAACAGCTCTTATGGTAAATGACAGCTGAGCACGGGTCCATCGTCGTGGTGCTGGCCCCCAGGCTTCCCAAATGTGCACCGAGATTTAAAAAAATTAATAGCAAAATGTGAAGTAATTAAATGAATTCCCAGCGTGAGTTAAATTCTCCAGTTCGGGAGTGGTTTTACGCAGGAAATTCTCATTCGTGTTTGCAGCAGATAAACTTGGGGGGTTTTCTGATCTCTCAGGTTATTCAGGCGTTTGTTCTGTGCTGCAGTGCAGTGGTTGTGTCTGGAAATGGTTTAATGGATTTTTTTATTTCCCAGGTAACAACAGCATCTTCGCTCCTGTGAACCTGCCTCAGTCGAGTGAGTGTTGGAACTCTGTTAAATTTTAACTCTGCCTGCCCTGGGTTCAGGATTGAACTCTGAAATCTGGGATGGGAATGTGGGCTGCATTCAGAAGGGCTCCTTTTAGATCAGACGTCCAGTAAAGAATGTAAAGCCTAAAACTTAAACTGCTGGTTTAGTTTGGGTTGGGGTTTTATCTGCAGGCTCTCACATGATTTTCCTTCTGTTTTCAAATGTCCTTGATGATTGTTTTGTTTGACTAAAGCTACAAATAAAGCAACTTGATAATTTCCTAATCCCACATGGTGAAAACAACTGCTCTGTTGCTGGGAAGGAAGAAACACATTTTGTACCACATCTGTGAGGGATATCCTGCTTTCACCTGGGTTTTCAGCTGTTCTTTTTATTTATTCCACACACATTTTTTTAAATATGATTAATTTATTTTCCAGCTGGAGAGCACGGGCCTGATGTAGACCCAGAGCTCAGTGCACTCCTAAGAGGAAAACAAAGGTGACAGAAATCACCAATACAAGTCAGGGGTTGTGTTGTGTTTTAATTTGAGGATTTTTTTCTCCCTCTGTAAGAACTCACTTGGATTTCCCTGGATTTATATTCCTGTCCCTCAGCATTGCCTGCAGGCTGCTGATGCCTTTTTTTGATACTGGACATAGGAGAACACTTTGTGAGGCCTGGATCAGATAAAGCAGTGAATTAAAGAAATTCCTGCTGCTGAAGTTACTGGTTCACGTTGCTGTGAAGCACAAAGACCTTACTTGACTTGCTTTGAGTTTGGCTTGATATTCCAGAATATGTTCCTCAGGTGTTGCACAAGGAGTAAAAGATCTGCTCTTCCCTCTCCAGAGACTTTCTTCAGCTCCTGGGGGAGCTTCCCTAAACTGAGTGATGAGCCTCAGAACCCTCCTCCACTTCCTCCACGAAAAAAGATGGATCAGGATGCTTCCAATGCTAAGGTATTGCTGTCCTGGATCGAATAGCTGTGGTGATGAACTGGGGAATATCTAGAATAATTTCTCTTGGAAAAGACCTTGAAGATTGTCAAGCTCAACCATTGATCCAAACAGGGCTCTGTCANTGGCCATGCAGGGCAGCAGAAAGCTGCTCCTCTGGCAATGCAGGGGGCAAAGGCTGCTGTGCTGGGCCAGGCTCAGATTGGATCCAGGTAGGAATGCTTGGCTCCTCCCCTGGGCGGAGCATCTGCCCATGGGATGCTGGGATTGGATCAGCCCTGCAGGGACACTCAGTGGGCGTGGACAGCAGAGATCTCCTGGAGGGAGGGTTGGCTGGGGCAGAGAGAAAGGAAAAACTGCCCATGGACAGCAGAGAGCTGCCCCATTAGTTAGGAATAGAATACACATCCCCATTTCCAACCCAAGACAGGTTTTCTTTTTTTTTTCTTTCTTTTTTTTGTGTTACGGTTGGTATTAAAAATGCTTAAGATGGTATTTTTTGTGTTTGGACTTACATATTTATTATTTTTTAGTTATATTATAGTTCTATTATAGTTTTACTTATAGTTAGAAGTTGGGAGTTTTGTAATACTTCACTAATAATTTACAAAATGGCTTTGTTTAGCTCTTTCTACGAGGTTTTTTAAGGATAAACTGATTAATTAAGAAATGACAAATTATTTTTACTTTTAACTTAATAACTAATTATTTGTGATTTGCAACGTGGATTTTTCTGTCTAATTATACAATACTACTTAAACTCATGAAGAAGGTGAAGAAGAACTAGCTACTGCTTTAATACTTCTATTTTGTTTTAGATATATTATTCTGTTTTAAAACTTTAAACTCTAAGTTTTCTACTATGTGACATTACACATTTCTATTTAAACTCTACACTCATAATCTTAATGCTATTATATAATTTTGGAAGCTTTCTCTGCAGCTTCAGGTTAAATGTTGTGTTTGTTTGGAGGTCAGTGTTTTTCAACACACAAAGTCTAAAGTTCTCAGCATCAGGGTTCCAACACTCTCACACCTTTTTTGTCATTATTTCACCTAAAAAATGCTCCTCATTCACACCATCGGTCAAAAATACCCTGAGCCTTCCAGAGTTTACAGGAAGAGGTTTCTTTGCTGTGTGCTCTATGTTAAAATATGCAAAGAAGTAAAAAAAAGAGAATTTTTATCTCCATATCAGACTTGTGACAACAGAAGTGCTGGGGGGATAATTCAGGAGTCTTACAAAATTCAAATTATAAAATCCTGTTTCTGCTGCAGTGATGGGAGGTTTTGTGTGGAAACCAACCTGTTGCTGCAAGTGCTTCACCTTCTTGTTTTCAGCTTTTAACTTTTTCAAAGTTGTTTTCTTGCCCTTTCAGAAGATCAAACTCACTCCTTTGTAATCTCCTTATCTGAAAATGCTTCTTCAAAATTATCCAATTTCAATGAAGATACAAATGTATTTCTTTCTGTACTCAAAAAGTTGTGGTTGGTAGTAGATGAGGTGGGATTGGATTTGTGAAATAACAGGTCGTGATTAAGGGGAGAAACAATATTTTAATGAAAGCACAGAAATGACAGTTTTTATTGGTACTGAGAATTTTCCTCCTGCTTTGTCATTGCCAGGGCTGTGCAGCCTTCTGAGCTCGTTGGCAGCGTGTGGACGAAGGAAGACAAGGAAATCAACTCCCCAAACCTCCTGAAAATGATTCGTCACACCACAAACCTCACGCTGTGGTTTGAGAAGTGAGTGCAGGGCTGTGCCATTGAGCACTGCTCCCCTGGCTGTGCTTTGGCCTTTGCTGGCTCATTGCTGCCAAATCCTCCCCTGACTTTCCAACTGGAACACGTGTAAGATGTGATTACAGAAATTCCTGCTTGAGATTCCGGAGAGAGAGCCAAAATCTGCATGCTGGATGGGTTTTCATGGAAAAAAAAATTGATTTAATAAGACAGAAAGTGTCTTATTATTTCAATTTTCTGAGTGTTTCTCAAATGCCATCTTTCGATCAGGTGCATCGTGGAAACGGAGAACTTTGAGGAGCGAGTGGCTGTGCTGAGCAGGATCATAGAAATCCTGCAGGTCTTCCAGGACCTCAATAATTTCAATGGAGTTCTGGAGATTGTCAGTGCTGTGAACTCTGTCTCTGTCTACAGGCTGGATCACACCTTTGAGGTGAGTTTAGGGCGTGGAAAAAGAAATTAAATCAGAATCCAGAGCTGGGTCCCACACGGTTCTGCAGTGAAATCCATTGTTGGCAGCAAAGCCTCCCTGGAGTAAAACAGAAAAAAAAGAATGGGAATTAAATGGTTTGGGTTTTGCATTGCTCTGAAAAGCAGCACAAGGCCTTGAACTTACAATCAAACGTTTAATTTTTATTAAAGACCTAATTTTTTAACTTTAAAGTTAAAATAACAATGTGTTTTTAGTAATGTGGAATGTTTTCTTCGGGATCCACATGACTGAATTGTTGGGGCTGCAATCCAGAGCAACCCATTGCCACAA